AGTTAGTAGTTAGTAGTTAGTAGTTAGTAGTTAGTAGTTAGTAGTTAGTAGTTAGTAGTTAGTAGTTAGTAGTTAGTAGTTAGTAGTTAGTAGTTAGTAGTTAGTAGTTAGTAGTTAGTAGCTAGTAGTTAGTAGTTAGTAGTTAGTAGCTAGTAGCTAGTAGCTAGTAGCTAGTAGCTAGTAACTTAGTAGGTAGTAGGTAGTAGGTAGTAGTTAGTACTAGTAGTAGTAGTAGTAGTAGTCGTCGTCGTAGTAGTAGTAGCAGTAGTAGTAGTAGTAGTAGTAGTAGTAGCAGCAGTAGCAGTAGCAGTCGGAGTCGTAGTCGTAGTCGTAGTCGTAGTGGTAGCCGTCGTAGTAGTAGTAGTAGTAGTAGCAGCAGCAGCAGCCGTAGCAGTAGCAGCAGCGGCAGCAGCGGCAGCGGCAGCAGCGGCAGCAGCAGCAGTAGTTCCCCTAAATTTCCTTCCTGACGCCTCCAAATGCCCTTTCGACCCCACCAGCTGCCCTTCTCAGCTTGTGGTGGTCGCAGTAGTCGTGGTCGCAGTCGTAGTCTCAGCGGTAGTCCTGAGTGTTGTTGTCGTGGTGGTTAGCCAACCAGAAGAATGCAGACGACACCAGGCGACATTGAACCAAAGCGTAGACTGCAGATGGAAGTTTCGACAAATCATAAGGCAGGTTAGCAAAAATTGTAGGCAGCACACGGTTCTTGGTGCTCAGATTTTGTCCAGGAGCGCTTGGAAGGAAATGCCTTTTTCGTCTGCAGTGCTGAAGACGGCATGCTTGGCTCTTAGCGAGACTCCTGGGCATGAATTGCCGCACATGCACGGAAGAAAAACAAGTGTTTTCTATGTGGGCTATGCCTTGCGCGGGCCCTTCGTGCCGACACGAGGCCGATTGCATGCCTGGCCCCACAGCAGGCCACCGGATTTCGCAGTCCTGCGTTGCGCGATGCAGATCTTCAGATTCAGCAGATAAGGGCAAATTCAATCTGAACCCCCTTACAGCTGCAGATCCGACTCTCCAGCCAGCAACCACATGCTGCAGAGGAGGTGTGGGGTTTCGCAGCTTCCCCAGTGCGTGCTGTTTTTTGCGACACCTAAATCCTCGATTTGTGTGGACCCATGGTGAAGCCAAGGCCGAGGAGTCTATGTCGAAGGCCTCCAAGCAAGAGCCATTTAGCGCCTCAAGTGTTGCAGTGGCAGTCGACTGTTGCGCAATAGCCGGAGGGTTGATTGTGTTGCCGTGTCTGCTTCCATCCCGCCCGTCAGTCTTGCTGATGTCTCAGTTGCAGTCGAGTTAGATATCCTTCTTCACACTACTTAGGGTAGGTGAGGTATCGTGAGGTGATGCCTGTGAATGTCCGTTCTAGACCACCATGCAACTGCCAAGTTTGACGCCTGCAACCAAAGAAATTCAGTGGCTTCCGCCCTGACTCCAGTATATACTTGAGTATGTTCTCGATGGTTGTGGTTTCCAAGTGATGCGTCGGTGCTAGGAAGCAAGATCTGTTGTTTGGATCGTTGGTCCAAGTGGTGTTCCAGTAGGTGCCATTTGTTGCCACTCCAAGCCCGGAATGCTAAAATGCACGATTGCTATGAATGCGCCCTGCTGGAAGATGATGGTCATTATTGCTTTTGACAGGATCCATCCTGCTTCTGCGAGTGCGCAAGTCGAAAACCGAAGTCCTAAACCATGAACCCGTATCGAGAGACCGCGTTTCGCTGAGTCCAAGCTGCGAAAGCGTAAACCCCGCACCGTGAACCCCAAGCTGCCGACAGCACCGCCGTATACCTACATGCCAAATATGCCAAGGATTTCCAGCACCTCTCAGGTCTCCTTGCTATGCTGGGGGCCAGCCTCTTTTCCGCCCGGACAAGCCTCGCCTGAATGTCTCGAGTTGCGAGAGTCCAAACCCGAATCCTTCATCGCAAACCCGAAGCTTAAGACTTAAAACCCTGATGTAAAAACCCAGCCGGCCATTTCGGCTCAAGAATGCCTACGCCTCAAGACACTCAACCCCGGACTGCCAGGGCAGTATTCAAGTAGAACGCAACACATGGTCCGACATCCGGTGCTTGGATTTGGCTCTAGCGAGTGCATATGCAACGAGATGGTTGGTCTCTGCGTCGAGTCTTGTTGCGAGATGACGGTTCCACCAACGCACTGCGAAGTTTCGTGCCGGACTTTGACTTTACTGGCTGAGTTTGGAAGAATTGGGGAATTCGTGAATTCGTTGCAATTGCTGTCTACGGACCTTCGCAGCTGGACAAGCCCTTCAGATGCATCCGACTTTCACCGGACGAAACTTGAACCACTGGTGCGCATCCCTCTCGTTTCCGGCGACACGCCACCTACAGTAGCGGATGAGGTTCGGCGAGCTACTCAGGCGAAGTGGGTGAAGATGTGGACCACCAAACCTTCTCATGTTGCCGGACTTGTGCACGTCGTCCTTTCAAAGCCAGCGCTTATTCTGTGTATTCTGTGTACTAACTGTTTGGGGATCTGTTTGGTGATGTGAAGAAATTCCGTTCGTTTCCTGATGGCGCTTCCACCGACAATGCAACAATGAGCCTGGAGACTTGACCAGCTGACTCCCTTGTATAGAGCCAGCCCCCTCCGACTGCCGAGTACAGATTGTCAAATATCACCATTGACTTTGAGACAATGTACAAGGGGCTTGCCCGCCACTTATACTAATCAAGCCAGTTTCAATCGTAATTTCCCCACGTGATTTTGTCGTTCTGATGTGTAATTCGGATGCAGTGTCAGGCCGTCGTTGTCTGTTCAAGCCATGCAGTTTCAGTACCAACTCGTGTGATGTTTCACCCCGCCGACCTCATCTGGCAGAGTCCGAGTGTGGGAGGGTAAATAAATCCTGAGCCTGTGTCCAGGTTCGACATTGCTCGAGACGCGAGAGTCAAAGGAAATTTGCCAACTATCAACCCCCGAAGTAGGAGGCAGAAAAATCCCTAAACCCTATCCAAAAATAGTCCAAACCCCAAAACCCTCTTGCCTGCTGCGTGCGAGTGTGAGTGTCGAAACCCGCCAGCTTTGTGCGAGTGTGTGAGTCGAAACCCGTACTCTCATTGGAATGCGCTCTTCTTCTGTTCAGTTTGGACGATTTCCCTCCGGTGCGGCTTGGTCAGCTGGGCGGGCCACCCTAAACCCGAAAGTGTGGAGCCTTGCCTGCCTGTTGCGAGTGTGAGAGTCGAAACCCGAAAGCCGGAATCCAAAACCCTAAACCCTGAAGTTCAAAGGGGAAGACCCAAGCGATTTCGAAGAAGTTCTTGGTGACTTAACACAGGCGGTTCCCCTGCCGACCCAACTGCCCCGAAAATGAAGACCCAAGCTAGGGCTCAGAGGCCGGATGCTGATGCCAGTTTCTGTTCTGAGGCCACAAACAATTCCGTTGGCATCGAAAGAATTGATAGCAGCTCTGTCTACATCACGGTACATTGCAATCATGTGGCCCTGAGTGAACATGTAAGCCCACGTGGGACTGCCGGTGTTGATCTCAAGGTCATACGCTTCCCGCTTGAAAAATCGGGAATGAAACGTCGGGACTGGAACTTGGCATCTTCGTCATGCCCCGCAGTTGCATTCCTTGACTTCTAAATGAAGTTGTTATGACATTCGGACGGTTTTGGTCTGGAAGTTGCTAAGATTAGTTGCAGATGGTGTCAGCACGATACGAAGTGCCTGAGCAGTTGGAAGATTACGGTAAAGTCGAAAGCACCCATCACTACACACATTGCGAGCGATTTGACCCAATGTCGGATTTTGTTTGGTGTGCAGCAAATCCACTTCCCCACTGCCAGATCCCAGATCATGTTCATGTTTTCGGGGTGCACATCTTCGTGAGTTCCGAATTCGATTTCGGTATTTCCGAGTTATGTCCATTTTCATGTCTGGATTTCTGCAAGCATATCTGGGCAAACCATCGGAGCCCAACAATGCTGGGACGGGTCAGGGGCTGTTCTTGCGAAGGCTGCTTCTGCAGTTATGAAGTACAGAGTGAGTGAGGAGAGGAGCTGTGGGCAATCTGGTTGGCTGGTGCTGGACTCACGTGGGGTCATACACGAGGTCCCCATGCACGTTTGGCATGGTCGTGTTGAGTCGCACGGGCCAACGGACGTGGGGAGAAGATGCTGATAGATGCTGTACGCGCAAGCCTTGCGACCTCTAAGAATGAGCCTTTGTGGGAGCGCAGTAGTCGATCGCAGTCATGACCAGAAGTGAGAGAAGCCCTTGCGTACCGAGCGCTGAGCGATGGCCTCAGTGCTTTCGAATCGGTGTTTTCCTTGACCCTGAACGAAATCCCGTGCTCGTGATCAAGCTGATGTGCGATTTTAACGCACTGCTGCGGCAGCTTTTCCTTTGTCGCTGGAGTGTCGCTCATAGCGAGTCCCCGCGGAGGCAGCTGTTCTTTTGTGCCTGCCTGCCTGCCTGCCTGCCTGCCTGCCTGCCTGCCTGCCTTCGGATGCAACTATCTACTCTTACTTATTCACGGATGGTGTTGCGTGAAGCGAAGGCGGAACGAGAACAGAAAGATGCGGAAGAGATGAAGCAGTACGAAGCAGGCAGGCATCCTGCGAGCATTGTGTTGTCGTCCAGTCAGAGAAGCACGAGGGAACGATTTGTCACGGTTGTGTCCCGAAGATCGCCAAGGTCTGAAGGACCCCAGCAAGTACGTGATGCCCCCCCGCAAGAGAATGCGCGAACTTCTCGGCACGGACCACAGCGCGCAAGCCAGCAAATGCTGTTCCATGTCATGTCATTCTGTGCGCGTGGTGTAGGCCTCCCACCGGAAAAGAAGACAGTGACGAAGGGCCAGCTACTAGCCTCAACTCTTTCGTTTCGCGAAAGCCCGGATTTGAGGGCTTGATCGGCTCGATGCTGCCCAGGCTGCTCGCCAAGACCTTGCCTCCGGATGCACTTCTTTGGGGTCGAGCTCTGCCAGACTCTCAGCCCCTGCGTCGAAAGCAGCTGTGGTACAGAACGTGGAAGAGTGTTTGGCTTGCCATGGTAGGCACTGCAAAAGTGCTGGACGTGAAGCCTTAGAAAGGGTCCAATTGCGCCAAGGATGCAGAGATTCAAAGAGAAGGGAGGCTCCGTGTCCTACAACTTGAAGGTGGACCGAGAAAGGAAGGCAACTTGCACAAGAGCCAGGCATTGACCAGCAGTTTTGATGAGATTTTGTGGCATGACGACATATTTGCGACATACCGCGATGCTCTGATAATTCGTTCCTGATGTCGATTCATGTTTGAATGGCTGTGGGTTCAAATCGGGGTCCGGAGTTTAGAAACGTTGGCCGAGCTCGTGGTTCCTTGGTAGGTTTGCTTCGGTTCTGTTGTCCTCCTGTCCTGTACTTACTTCTCCGCTTTTGTGATCCTCTGGTTCCGTACTCCACGGATGAAGTTGAACCAGCGAACAAAACAAACTCGTCTTCCACAACAAGGGAAGAAACTGCAAACGCCGGTGAAATGGCGAGAAAACCTACCAGCAACACTCCCTCGGGGGTGCGTTTAAAATAATGAAATGTCAAACACGCCTTCCAACACAACAAGAGAAAGCTGGGACCAATTTCTCATCTTTGCGAGCAACACGGGCGCGAAATTAAGAGTAAGTAAGACGTGAGAAAGAAACGGAACCAGACATGTCGCCCAGAACGACAGCACAACACAGTAACGGAAAAGGCTGCACAAACCTCTGCAGCAGTGAGGAACCAAGCATGTTTTTTCAGAGCGAAAACCAAACAGAACAAGAGGAATAAGTCTTCGTTTCATGAGCAAATCCGAGGTGACATCATAGAAAGCCAAGAGTTCCTTTGCACGAGAACGCCACACAATAGAACAGAGGGACAACATGCACACGTTTTCGCATTACGAGGATTACGAGGAATGCGTGGGTGAAATGAGACAATGGAAAAAACCTCGAACAAGTAGTCCACAATATTAACTCACTCCCGACCAACACTTTTTCCAAAATAGCCAGAACTCGGTATTTGGAGCACCCGGAAATGCTGCAAATATTACAGCAGTTAGGGCATGTTGGAGCCATGCCTGTAAACAACACAAGTCATAGCTGAAAATGCTGCGAATCATAGCATTGGAGGCCTGACAGCCAGCAGAAATGCTGCAACTAAGAGCATTTAAGATCGCCAACCCTATGAAGGAAAACACAGCACCACCAAGCGCATACCAAGCGCTGTAAAGAAAAGAATCTCCTCCATTGCGGCGTTGGAACTCCAGGCGTGTATCACCTCAGACAACATCGAACCTCCTGGACAGTCCGAGCATGAGCGAAATACGACCTAAAAGGAAGATGTTCACGCATCCTCGGATCCCGGGGCCATGTCTTGTGCCTGACGGTCAAGCCAAGGTAGCGTAGCATCGGCCCTCACTGCACGAGGCTGCCGTCGCCGCATGTGCGAAGTTCGAAACACCCAGTAGAAGTTGACACATTTGGCAGGGGCTGGTGTCTGTACAGGGCCCAAGACCAGATGACACTTGTTCGACATAGTACCCTTCTTATGGCGCTGCGTTTTCCTATTCAGCGGCCTGCAAGTGGTGTTTCTTGGCTGTTGGAATAAGTCTTATGCATGCACGTGCCTCATACTGCCCTGCTCTTCGTCTGGTCAAACTCTGGCCACGTCATTTGACCTCTCGGCAGTTTGCTGGCGAGGCATCATAGTCAACTGTTTAATGCCCGACGTTTGTCCAGCTCCAACACCTGAACGCTTTCAACACGCTTCACAATCACAGATGCTGCTATGCAACGCGTTCGGGGTTATTCGTTGTGGCCGGCCAGAAAATGCTGGGCGCCGATGTGGACGTGGTTTCCGATGTCGGGCCGACGTGCAGACTTCTTATGGCTTCGGAGTGGTTTGCCGAGCATTCTTGATGTTTCCTGGAACCCCAGCCAGAAACCTTCCCTGCAAACAGGCGCTTTAACACTTCGCCTTAGGATCACCAATCTTCTTCCGCAGGAACACACTAAACTCGAAGCTGCTTGCTGCTTGAATTCCTGAAACGACAGCAGCATTTTTTGCTCAGCCCATGCCTGCCGACGGCAGTATTGGAATTGGACACACACTGTCGGCGTGTGTCCTGCATGGCTTTGCCGTCGTTAGCAGATGTTCTGGCAGCCTTTCCTGACAATGCCACCTATGACGGCGTGCAGCAAATATTATCACCTGCTTTGCCAAAATGGGGTCGGCAGCCTCGCTTGGCCACTGCTGTCTTGAAGCAGGTGGAGTGCGTAGCAACCGTCATAACGATGTTGGACGTAATGCAGGGCTCTCGCATAGAAACAAATAAGTTCCACTACAGCGTGGCAATTGCTGCATGTGATAAAGCTGGCGACTGGAAGCTTGCTGTTCAATTGCTCGCTCGCATGGAGCGGCACTTTATCTCGCCAGATGTGGTATGCTTTAACGCGGCGATAGGAGTTTGCGAAAAATCTGCCGAGTGGGATGGCGCAATTTCGATATTGAGCTTAATGGCTTCCCTGAGAACTTTGCCAGACACTGTCTCATATAATTCTGTGCTGGGAGCATCTGCTCGAGCGGGGCATTGGGAACTGGCTCTGGACATGCTGTACCAACTTCATAGAAGATCTGCTGCCGATGTGATCAGCTTCAGCTCAGCTCTCGCCGCCTGCGCGAAAGGCACACAGTGGGACGCAGCTTTACGCATTTTGGCTTCCATGCCAGCTGGGCGGGTGTTGCCAAATGCATTCAGCTATTCCTCAGCCATGGCAGCAACAGCAAACTCTGGCTTGTGGGAACATGCGGTGCAATTGCTCTCCGACATGGCGGAACGAGCAGTGCTCGCGGACGCTTTTGTATACAGTGCGGTGACCACTGCGTGTGGTAGAGGACAGGAATGGGAACTGGCGATGTTGCTTCTGGGAAGGACAGTCGAAGAATCCTCAGATCACGCTGAGGTGGTCTTTAACAGTGCCATCAGCGCTTGTGCCACAGCCGCCCAGTGGCAACCTGCATTGTGGATACTGGCATCAATGCCTTTTCCCCAGGCTGTCAGCTACAACTCAGCCGTCGCCGCGTGTGGAAGATGCAGCTTGTGGCAAGCGTCGATATCATTGCTAACCCGGATGGCCACGGAAAGCCTGAATCCAGATGAAATTTCGTACAACAGCGCCATTGATGCATGTGGTGAAGGTGGTAGCTGGCAACTTGCCCTGGATCTGTTATTACAGATGTACCGGCGAGTGATACGCCCCGGCGAGGTGAGCTTCACGAGCGCTTTAAGCGCAACTGCCAGAGCTGCGAAGTGGCATATGTGCATGGCAATGCTTTGCCGCATGGGCGAACTTCGCCAAAATCTGGCATCAGATGCGGTTGGAATTGCCATGAGTGCCTGCGAGGGCAGCTGTGCGTGGGAGGCGACTTTAGTTCTTCTTGAAAGCATGATGGCATTGCGGGACACTCCGGACGCGCTGCATGTAGGGTCTGCAGCGAACGCATTACGCAAGAGTTTAGGCAAGAAGCGTGCCATGGATCTGTTGGAAATCATGAAGGCGGTATGGTTGCGCCGAGATGCAGAGAAAAGCTTGGCACTGACGAGAAAAGTTCCCACCTTCGCTGTTTCTCATCCCACGGTTCTGGGGTTTGGATGCGGCATCGTGGCAGCCAAGAAGTCTGACGACGTCACAACTGAAGTCTTTGCGGAGCGCATTGCTGCATTACTGTGGCCAGGAGCTCGCAGCGCTGAAGTGCTCAGCATAGTCTCCAGGCTTGATCGAGCCACTTCTGGGGTTTTACCTTTGGCTTTGGGACCTGCAGGTTCTTTGGCTGCGAACTGGTTGCAATCGCAGTTTGCCAGTCGCCTTGTCAAGAAGAACTACGTGTGCTTATGCGAAGGCCCCAAGCTAGGCATCGTCTCTGAAACAGGTCAAGTAACCTCCCCGCTGCGCACCAGCAAGATCTACGAGACGAAGAGGACCGAGGTTTCTGAAACTGGCCGAGAAGCGCTTACAAAGTACCGGGTTCTTGCACGGTACAGAGCGCCGACAGTGCCAAATCCTGAAGACCACGAGCTGATACTCTTGTCCGTGAAGCCCGTGACAGGCCGAACCCACCAAATCCGAGTGCACCTGGCTCATCTGAATCGCCCTATTGTCGGTGATGGCAAATATGGCAGGCATTTGTCCATGCTTCCCCGCCAGAGACTCTTTCTTCATTGTCGTCGCATTGAGCTACGAGACCTCTCGGGCAAGCCTTTCTGTGTGAAGGCGAGATTGCCTTTGGAACTACGAGATGTTCTTGCATCGCTGAAACCCCTGCGAATTGACGAAGCCTGGGGGCGGAAAAAGTTTGCATTTACAGTTCTCGCAGCTCGGAACCCCATCAGCAGCAGAGTAAAGACATCCTCTGACCACGGCCATAGTAACAGCGCCTTCTTTTCAGCTGTCCGAGATCGGAGTGCAAGCGAATGCTCCTTGCAGGACAGCATATCCGCGATACTTTTCGAAGCATTTCGGCTACAGACCTTCGTAGCCGGTCTTATTCTTAGTTAATTCTACGTGACCCACCAACGGCAAACGCCGCCGTAAGAGTTTGGCAAGGACTCTCACACACGGCAAACCACTCCCGAGTTATTTGCATGTGTGGGCGTGTGTGCTTTTTGTTGACTGTTTCGGATCTTGGGCAGGCTTAAAGCTGAACCATTTCGCAGCACGTGCACACGGCTTGAAAGCCCAGCTCCAATATGTTGTCGTCGTACTGCTTACAAACTCTTGAATGACTCAAAAGCTCATAAACGCCCTGTGACTGTTGACAGGGCCTATCCCGTGGCAGCATGTCTCTTAAGATTTGAGTGTGTTTGTGTTTGTCTGTGCTGCTCTTCGACTGTTTGCTTGTAGTCGGGCTTTGATTGTGTATGTGCTTGTCCCGAAAGCACCAACACCCTGGGGATCTAGTTCCTGCTACATAATGATTCAAGACGAAAGCCATCCTCGGTGGAGAATACAGGTGCCAATCCACAAGCCTTGAAGCATCGATATCAACGCAAAACGTCATCAGAAACGCAGTTTCATGTGCATGATGAGGGCAGTATCTTCTTTAGGCACCAGAGCCAGCATTGTCGTGCATGACAATATGAGCAGCGAGCAGTGGAAAAGCTGACACGCAAAGAGGGCTTGACTCTGGCT